CTAATTTGACGTATTTCTTTTTTTTCAGTCTTCTTTTTCACTTTCGGAATGCTTTGCAGATGTTTTTCCCAATTAAATGATGACTACTCAGTAACGCAACTTTGGTCACCGACCAGTGGAGCATTTGTCTTTGGGTTTCAAAACCTTTCAGAATAGTTTGTTAGAGTTAACTTTTGCAAAGACGTGCCGGAACTGAGAATAGTTTGTTAGCGCCAACTTCTGCAAAGACCTGTCGAAACTGACTGAACTTTTCACCGGAAGCGGTCGCCTGGTGTTTTTCGGCTGGCTAGGTTTTTATTTGCACACGGCAGGCGATCGCATTCGAAGGATGGCGGGGCACACTGTAGATGAAAGCCCTTTTAGCAGAGTTTTATTTCACTTTTATCATACGACGGAACGTGCATTAAGGAGTTTTTTTTTCAGATGGGTAAGGGTTCCTTCAAGTATGCTTGGGTACTCGACAAGCTGAAGGCTGAGCGTGAACGTGGTATTACCATCGATATCGCTCTGTGGAAGTTCGAGACAGCCAAGTATTATATCACCATTATTGACGCTCCTGGACATCGTGATTTCATTAAGAACATGATTACCGGTAAGTTTCACACAGTTCGATATGGCATTTGAAAAAGGATGAAGAGTTATTATCAATTTAGGAACGTCCCAGGCTGATTGTGCTGTGTTGGTCGTTGCCTGTGGTACCGGAGAATTCGAGGCTGGCATTTCCAAAAATGGACAGACTCGTGAACATGCCCTACTGGCTCAGACCCTTGGTGTGAAGCAGCTTATCGTTGCTTGCAACAAGATGGACTCGACTGAGCCGCCTTTCTCTGAGGCCCGTTTCAATGAGATCACCACTGAGGTCTCCAACTTCATCAAGAAGATTGGATACAATCCCAAGGCGGTCGCATTCGTCCCTATTTCTGGCTTCAACGGTGATAACATGCTAGAGCCGTCATCAAACATGCCTTGGTTCAAAGGATGGAATGTTGAACGCAAAGAGGGAAATGCTACCGGCAAGACCCTTCTCGAAGCTCTTGACTCCATTGTTCCCCCTCAACGACCTACTGACAGGCCTCTACGTCTTCCGCTTCAAGATGTGTACAAGATTGGAGGTTTGTTTCTTAGGCGTACTTGTGGAATTTCAAGTTAACTGGATTTTGCTTCAGGTATCGGAACTGTGCCTGTTGGACGAGTCGAGACTGGTATCATCAAGCCCGGTATGGTCGTCACTTTTGCGCCCCAGAATGTTACCACTGAAGTGAAGTCCGTCGAAATGCACCACGAATCTCTTCCTGAAGCTGGCCCTGGAGACAACGTCGGTTTCAACGTCAAGAACGTGTCCGTCAAGGATATTCGTCGTGGATCAGTCTGCTCCGATTCCAAGAATGATCCCGCTAAGGAAGCTCGCTCATTCAACGCTCAGGTAGGTGCGAAGCATTGATGGTTTGCTTCCATGAATTTTGAGTTTCTCTTTTTCAGGTGATCATTATGAACCATCCTGGACAAATCGCCGCTGGTTACACGCCTGTTCTTGATTGTCACACTGCACACATTGCTTGCAAGTTCAACGAGCTGAAGGAGAAGGTATTGTTAACGTTTGGATTGCTTAGATTTTGATTTATTGTGATACCTTCAGGTCGATCGCCGTACTGGTAAGAAGGT